GACCGCTACGTGCGGGAGCTCATGAAGTACATCCAGGTAGGCAGATGCGCGGGGAGATTGTGGTGTGTGTGGGGTTGCTGTAGGAGCTGGGTCCGCCTGGCTGCCCCCCTCCCTCCACCTCCTCTTCTTAATGGGGTTTGTTTGTCTTTGCTTTTAGCCAAGACACGAATCGTAACGGGGATGCATGCCGACTACAAGCTGGACAGAAAAACTAGTTGTATTCCTTCCCAAAGCGTGATCTAGACTACACCACATGCAGTAGGTAGGCCTGGTGGTAGCTGTTAGTTGTGGAGTTGGCCGGACTTGGGATCAGTCACAGGCTGGGCTAAACCTGAATAAGCTTGGCGTTGTGGAGCAAGTGCCAGGAGTTGCTGAATCTCTGCACCTTGAAGTTAGCCTGTATGAAGGCTCTCCATTTACAAGCCTTGCTCCCGTTTGAAAGTACAGGCATGGAGTGAAGACAGGTCACTGTGGTTTGAGAATCTGCTCCTTGAGAAGCATTGTAGGACCATGTTGTTCCCATGGTGGTTTGCACCGCTCTGGCACAGCTGGCAGAGTAGCTTCATAAACTGAGATAATGATTCTTTCAAGCAGAAAAGAAAAGCTTAGTAATTTTTTCTCTTCAAAATTCTGAAGGACGGTAGATTAGAAACAAAAATCAAGTTTTGGTGTTTATCTAAAAACATCTTTTTCCTACTCATTTCTGCTGTTTCTATTGGTTGTGATTCATTCATTGTGCAAGTTTATCATGTAGTCAGTGAAGCAAAGACAAAATAACTTTTGAAGTTTGATTGTATTTTCAAAGTATGAGGCAGATTCCAGATCGAGTGTGTGGTCTTTCGAATTTAGACAGTATTCTTTTGCTTCCCTGCATCAAGTTTCCTCAGTCTAACAAATGGAACATTTTTGCCAGCCTGCTGAGACTGGCAGGAGCTGTGTGCATTAGCAGTTTGGAAAAGTGCTGGGTCTCTGTTAAGTAGGTCACTTTTAAATTAACTCAGGGGGAGCTCATCCTTATCTCTCAGTTTCTGATGTAGACAGTAATAAATAAGTTTTTGGGTAACTTCTTCCTTTCTGCACACTCCCCCTGCCCCTCAATCTGTAGCATAGTTTATGCTGCTTTTGAAACTGAGATCTCAGTTTCCTCTAAAATTGTTAGAACTGGGACTCTACTAATAGTCACAAGGGAAAGAACTTGGAGTGAAAGCGAAGCTGAAATAGCTAGGAACTGATCAAAGTTAGGAATTTTGTAAGAAATACAAGCTCTGACAACAAGCTCCAGGCAAACAAGTCACTTTGTAAAGATGCCGGTTGTTATTTTAGGTTGACTCCTATGGGAAATGCCTGCATAACCGCGAGCTTCCCAGTGAGCGACTGAGAGACACTTCTACAGCAACTACTGAAGATTCTGAATTTATGACTTTTATCGCCAGGTACAAGTTTCATCTGGCCTTGGAGAATGCCATATGTGATGACTACATGACAGAGAAGCTGTGGCGTCCAATGCACTTGGGGGCTGTCCCAGTATACCGAGGCTCCCCAGCTGTGCAGGACTGGATGCCAAACAACCTCTCCATCATTCTTATAGATGACTTTGAGAGCCCCCAAGAGCTGGCAAAGTATCTTGACTTCCTGGACAAGAATGGAGAGGAATATCTGAAGTATCTAGAGTATAAAAAACATGGTGGAATCAAAAACCAGTTCTTGCTAGAGAGCTTGGAGAGGCGGGAGTGGGGGGTGAATGACATGACTCTGCCCAATTACCTGAATGGCTTCGAGTGTTTCGTCTGTGACAGGGAGAACACCCGGGTCAAAGAGGAGCAGGAACACAGAAAGTCTCATGGGAAAATTCCATCTCCCAGACCTCGCATAGCTCAGTTCAAGCACATGGGATGTCCTGTGCCCATCCCTGGGTTTGGAAATGTTGAAGATCTCTCTGGAGGAGACAGGTAATGTACCAAGACTGTGCTTTCTGAAGGAAAAAAGAAGCATCAAGTAATAGTAACTGTAACTGTTAATGATGCTTTGTACTTAAAGGATCTCTTAATACACCTTCAGTTACACTTTCTATTATGTTTTCTGGGTGGTATGATAGTTCTGCTAATATTGTGTAACACTGAGGCTGAAGAAGAGGCTTGGCTGGTGGTATTTGTTAGTGGTTGAATGAGGAGTGTGAGACACCCATAATATTCTGTTAAAATGCTCTGTGACCTCAAACAATGAGGTTACCCTTTGTCTATATTAGCCTCTTTGTTTGGAAGAGGGATGTTTTTCAGTGCAGTGATGGTAAAGCACTTGGTAGCCCTTGGGTGAAAGAAGTTCTGTGCCTCCTTACAAAGTACTGCATTAAGAATGTGGGTGGCACTATTCAGTGCAGGCCTGTTGAACTCCTGTTGACTTCAGAGCAGAAGTTAGGCTCACCCAGAATACTTTACAAAACTTTTTGTTGGTTTGTGTGACAAAATTCTGCCTAGTGTTTGAAGGACACCGTCCCATTTATTTACGAGAGGGATCACACAAGACAGAGAATAAGTAGCTTCTTAGCCCTTTTGCAAATGGGAATTCCGGGTGTTACTGGAATCTCCCAGGCCCATAGCCCAGTGTTGGCCATCTCTAGCGTGAGCTGCCCTGAAGTCTGTCAGCAGGGAACTACCCACACTAACCCTCAGGTGACCACTTTTGACAGGCAGAATAGAGTTTTGTTTGCATGTTCTACTTAGTATTTATACATGTGCTGGCACAAAACAAGTCGGAGATTGGGTTCCCAAACCTTGAGTTTTTCCACTTGAGTGTTTGAAGTTGCAGTTGCTAGAAGGAAGTGTTTTTGCAGTTCATGAACGATGTGTGCACTTTTTGTAGTGTGTAATATTAGCGTAAGATGTTTGGATCCCTTAGGTTTGTAATTTTTCTTTGCATTAGTTGCAACAATTTCTCTTTTTAGGCAATTACTCAAGTGCATGCAATTCACGTTCTAAAAGTCATCAGACAGCCATCATAACCATAAACCCTCAGCCACAGCAGATCTCACCTATGTTCATAACTATCACCAAAGATTTCAATGTTCTGATGCCAGTCCCACTGTAGTTTTAAGTTAATGACTTTTTGAAAATACTAGTAAGATCTCATGCGCTGTCAGAAGGAGGTTGTCAATATACTCTGTCTCAGTTTATATCAGTTTACAGCCTTGTTAATAACTTCCTAGACTAAGGAATTGAATGCTTAGGAGTGTTAAAGAGTTAGAAGGAACAGTGTGTTGAAAATGAATCCATCATTTCAAGTACGCTAACCCAGAACTAAGAAGGTTTTTATTATGGTATCCATCCACAAAAAACTTTGTCCTATGTTTGAATGCTTTCATAAATGCCCAACTGAAACTAAAAAGAGAAAATAAGCCTGAGGTAATTTAGGTTGTTTAGGAAATGCCTATTTCACAAAACTTGTGATGTTTGTTATTAAAAAGCTTTTTTCACAGTACGGTTAATTCTCATATTGACTAATTGAAAAGTTATGCTTCTATGTAAAAGGGGTCTGAAGTCCTTTGTTTTCTGTTGGTTGATTGATATATTGGAGCTTTTTATAGGAATACCTTTTCTCAGTCTTCATAACAAAAGGTGGTTTTAGCTTGTAACGTTATGCAGTGTCCCGCTCTGTAAGTGTTCTCTACTTTTTCATAGCTGGCCTTTTGCTTGAGCAGCAGATGGCAGTAGAGAAGTACTTTTGAAGGCACCGCATGGGTGCCTATGCCACTTACTTAAAAGATCAGGTACTCCCATCGTTCTGTGCACTGGTTATCAGCAGGGAGTTTTGAACATAATCCAAGCCACTGTTGCAGCCCACGGAAGTTTCCATGTCTCATTGAACCACAGTATGTTTCTTTCCCGCTGATAGTAGACATGAGGTGAGTCTGGAAAAATTGTACCAGGGAAGCTTTTACATTGTCTGCTGTCTACTTTAGAAAGATACCTTGATATAACACAGTTGAGAGAAGTAGTCCACATGATCACGATTGGGAAGGGAATTGCTGAAAGTTGCAGTGATGTAGTCTGTGCTATGAAAAGTTTGAGAATGTCTGTATTCAAAAAGAGAAAGGCTATATTCAACCATGTAGTTTTGAGATGGAGAGTTAGGGTTGAGCAATATAATGATTTTTTGTCTCTGCCGTGTATAACCTGAGTTTGTAATGAGTAGCTGTTAAATGGTTTCTCATGGGGGGAGGAAGAGAAGAGAAGAAAAAATGATTCTTAGGCTGTTATATGCACACTGGCCATGGAAGGCTACTCTCAAAATCACATAAGGATTCTGTGCTAGATTTTATTTTAATAGAAGTTTTTATCCTCTACAATTAGTTGAGTGTCTTTGGTTAACACTACAGTCACATGCTGATATTTCTAGAATGTTGTAAAGCTAATCTTAAACAGGGGATGTTTAGATTAGATATAAGGAAGAAGTTCTTCACAGTGAGGGTGGTGAGGCACTGAAATAGGTTGCCCAAAGACGTTGTGAATGCTCCAACCCTGGTGGTGTTCAAGGCCATACTGGACAGAGCCTTGGGCAACATAGTTTAGTGTGTAGTGTCCCTGCTCATGGCAGGGGGGTTGGAGCTAGATGATCTTAAGGTCCTTTCCAACCCTAACTATTCTATGATTCTATTTTCTGTAGAAAACTTTCACAGCAAGTTTCTTTACATGACTTCAAGCGCAATGGGACGGTAACAGCACGCTTTGTTATGACCATCTCTGGGCTTGTTTTCCTCTTAGGTGGAAGAAAAAAAATTGGCTTCAGTGCTACTTCAGCTGCAGAGTTTTAGTGGTTTATGGTGATGTCTCTTTTTTTGTTTCAGTTGGAAAGAGATGTGGCTGCAGGATTATTGGCAAAGCCTTGATCAGGGTGAGGCCCTCACTGCTATGATTCATCGCAATGAGACGCATCAGGGAAGATTTTGGGACTATATGCATGAGATTTTTCTCAAGAGAACGAGGCAACACTGACCCATCTTTGTAAGAGCTTGATTTGAAAATTGCATTGAAAGGTGAGACTGCAAATTCTTACCTCGCTCCAAATGTTTGCCTTGAAATAGAAGAAAAACTCTCACAGAGACTATTTTTTCTGGTGCATGAAGTGAGTAGGTTTCTGTTATGATTGGATTTCAGCAGTGGAGATCTTAGCAACTGCTTTGATTTGAATTTCAGCTCTGTGGTGTGAAGCCACTCCCGAATTGCAGGTGTCAACATGTGGGGCAAAAGAGGAATTAACTCTCCTTTTGTATTTGTATAGTTTCCATGTGGCTTACATGACTCCAGAGGAATACCTCTTCAAACTCCTGCTAAACCATCCAAAGTTATTTCAGGGATTTTTTTTAATATCCAAAATATTAACCTTTTTTTATAAGTATTTTATCAGTCACTTATTCTCTTCGTTAAAGTGTACTTTTAGCTGCTATTAACAAATAGCTTTTTCAGTGAAGGAATAACAAAAGACAAATGTCTGTGGAGAGCAATTGTGCCTTATGAAATTACAGCAATAAAGTCTCTTCTCTGCAAGTAAGCATGCCTCAAATACTCCTACTTTTTTAGGGTAACTGAATAGCTATAGGCAGGTCACTTACTCTCTGCCTAATTTTTCTCTTTTACGAACTTATCAGGTTACATGTACAATGGGATGAGAGATTGAATTATTTAATTCACAACATTCAACAATGTATTTCACACCAGGAAGTGTATTACCTGATATTGTGCAGAACTAGGCTAAACTGAGTATGCTTTGGTTCTTTTAAGTTTCCATCAAATCTGAAATCCCAGCTATACTTCTGACTTTGTATTTATTATCTCCTTAATGCTAGCAATTCAGAAGCCCTTGATCTGTTGTTTTTGAGTATCTGCAGCTTTCTGCAAAGCCAAATATATTTTAACAATGGTGCCTTTCCAGTGGTCTCTGCAGTTTGGATATAAACATTACAGTCTTTTGGATATAAACCTTGTGTTGAAATGGATGGGGAATCAGGTGCATTGAGAAGTTTTTGTATCTTTACCAAATCTTAACACAGTATGATCCTGGTCTCTGACTAGCCTTCCTAAGAGTAAGTGATGACATGTGATTACATCTTTCTTGTTGCATACCCTGTATCTCTTAGAGATATAAAATAAGTCTGCTGTTCCCTGCCATGTTGGGTACCTTTCTGAAACAGTTGATCTTGCATTGGAGGGAGGTTAATTTACATAGTGTCGTGGTCTTAAAAAAGCCCAGGCAAATATGGCCACACTGCAGTGATGTCTCTAATGGTATAAAGGTATTTTGTTTCTCCATTTCTCCTCCCTTTTCAGAAGTAACTATTGCCTAAATAGTCAGAGTTTATCCATGCCTAAGACAGAATGTTGGTAATGCAAATCTAGAGCCTGTGAGGCAATTTCATTTTGTAGGGCATTGCGATGGGAAGTCTGAAGCTTGTTAGTAAAAGTTAGGAACAGGAGCAAATCTACATTCTGTCCCTAGTTAAGTCACTATCTATTGCTTAGCTGTGGATAGATCACTTAATCTCTTTTTTTTTTTTTTTCCCTCCCCTCAAATTCCCAGTGATAATGTTATAGATACAATATTTCAGGTGTTATATAGGTAATAATACACATCTCAGTGTTTGTCTTTCAGGTGATACAAAAATACTGTCATGTTAGAATCAGGACATCCTGGCAGAGGAGACTTCAGACCCATAACTGTCACTGGATTCTTGTAGATGTAAAAAATGCATACACTACACAGTCTCACCCGATGTTTTATTAGGAGAAAAAATGCTTTTTTATCTCTCTTCTGTAACTAATAGTCACAAATTGTTCTTCAGCTAAAATGTATTCATCAGTTTACATTCCTTTTTTCTTTTTTCCATTTACCCAGGAGACTATGAATACCAAAGGGAATATGTCTGAATTAATTGTTAAACTGGATTACTCAAATCAGATTAGGAGTTCAGATATGTGTATTCAGGATGGAAGTGGCCACGATGTGCTTAATAAGTAAATTAAGATAAAACAAATTAAGGCTACTTTAGTTCTGAATGTCCACTTCTACCAAACAGTTTAATGATATTTACATAAATTGTTTGAATTAATGCCTCCAGTTACTTCAGATTCTCTTCATTCTATTTATGATCTTAGTTTTCTTTTAGTTGTCTTTCTGCTAATCCAAGTATGTGATACAAACAAGGAGAAAGGTCACTGCAGCAACTATTAATATTTTGGGAAAAAGTTAATGATTTCTGTTCTGGACTGCTAACTGGATTTCTCACTTCACTGCTTGAAACCCAAACCAACTAGGTGGTGGCTGAATGTTGTCACTCATGTTGTGACTACCTTCTGGATTACATGATACTCAGACTGAACAGTGTATGCAATATCTTCCTTAATTAAATTCTTACAGTGCAGGTGCCCATACTCATAAAAACAGACAACTGAGACTAATCATGAATTTTAGCAAAGACACCAAATATTGTGGATGTTAATGAGATCATCTCTATAAACCCTTTGGTAGGCTTCTACTAACTGGGGTGAGTCACTTTACTGCTTGTCATGCATTTTGCCTGTTTACTGTGTGAGGGAGGATTTCAAAGCTGTCAGGATAGCTTTATTCACTAGCACTAATGTTCTAAAAATAGGTATCTCCTTACTACTGCTGATACGAAACACTAATAGAGTCTACTGATACTGTGTCTCAGAATTGCCTCCACCAGCTATGTTTATGCCCTCTGAGAAGTGAGAGAGGAAAAACAAATGCCTGACAGAAGTCTAGCAACCCAGTTCATTACATTGGACAAGCTGAAGTTCTCATTCTCCTGATAAAACTGTGATAGCAGGTGCTGCCTAATTTTCAGTAGGAAGCTGGGTATTTTATATACTGAATTAGTAATCTGTGTTTTCTGTCATTTAGCAACAACTGCAATTTCTAGGAAGCATGTAATCTCACTGAAGAATATTGATTTGATACCTAACATTGATAATTTCTAGAACTGAAAAATAATTGCCTTTCCTTATTTCTGTCACTGTAGTAATTTTGAGACTGAAGGATCTCTGAGTCCTCTGTGATGATAAGTAGAATGAAAGACAACCAACAGTGGATGTGTATGTTTAGAGGGAAAGGAGAATGAGATTCTTTCCCTGGAAATGGCCTGCAAAATGCAGCAGCTGGAAAATCACAGCAGAAATGCTCATCTTGCACCGTGGCAAAGGGTAGTTTTAACTGGTGTGGAAGAACAAGTAACTCCTAAAGGACTGGGAACAGGATAAATTGAATTGAAACACAGCCAACCAGGTACATCACTGTTTAGACAGGCTTTGCCATGCTAGGCAAGCAGCCATCTGCCTCCCATACCATCCCTCCATATGCACTCTTCAGCCATTGTCCCAAGAGAGCCACTCCCTTAATGATTTGTTGTCATCCATTTGGTTGGATTTAATTAAGATTGCTGATGGATCCCCAGGTGCTTTCTGAGAAGTTGTATTAATGGGAAACATACAGGGTGGCAGGTTCCTTCATTCTGCCCAGAGACCCCTACTGACAGGCTGAAATTAATCAGAGACAAAATCCTTTTAGTGATATGACCAGCTGAGCCAAAGCCTATGTCAGGCTTTAACAATCTCATGATTCAGTATCTTGGAGCTGGCACTGGGAGATATATGGCCCTGCAGAGGGACTAGGAAGGGTGGAGAAGAACGGAGCTGCAGGATTTGTTCCAGAGCTCTGACATGACTGGCATCTTAACTTGTATGCTGTTACATACATTCTTTCCTGCAGAAAAGCCCCATCTAATACTGAAATGTCTCAGCTAGAGATGATTCTGGGGATCTTGAAATGGATCAGAGCAGATTGTGATACTTTGTGGCATCTCTGATCAAATAAGGAGGCGTCAGGTAATTTGCAGTGGAATTGGGCTGGATTTGAGTAGATCTGGGAGTTAGGGATTAGGGATGGCAGCTCAGAGCTAGTCAGGTGGACAGTAATGCAGGGTGGCTGATCTGATTGAGATAGCTCAGAATAAGGTAGGCTAGCACTGGGGTAGTGGGGTGACACATCAGAAGAGCAATTGTAGCTGTCATTGTGCTATGAATATAAATGAATGCATTTGTGCTAATAAGTGCATTAAGTGCTAGTACTGTCCATACACAATAGCTCAGCAGACAGGATTAAGTCTGAAACCTCTTAAAGAGGTATTTTCGACAACAGTCTCATTTTAACTGTGTATTTTATTACAGCATTGTTAGCATTGTATTTAATTGTGGCATAACGTCATAATTGGCCCTTATTCCAGTTGTAATATAAGTTCTTTTCAAATCTAATACTAATAGTTTATCTCTGTGGTTTATTTTGGTTTTGACTAGCTGAAACACAGGCTACAATTCAGCTTTAACTATGTTGATCCAAGTAAAGAAGTTCTTCATGCAGTTAGAATTTTACATGTCCTTTGTAGTTGTACATTCAGGATTCACAGTGAAGTATCTGTGGGGTTCATTGCTTTGTGTGTTGAGAGAACTGGGTTTCTGGCTGTCCCTACAAAGTCAGCACTTTTGTCCCATCCATTAGTGTCTCTGTGCTATCAGCTATACAAAATACAGGTTTTTGGAGAGACCTCGATATAAAGTAACACACCTGTAGCGCTCCATATTCTACATGGTGTGCGCAGACACCGTCACGTACCTTGCTCTGTCTGCTTGGGAATTTCTTAGGCTGGTGCTCCAATCCCAGGCTGAATGCCAAAAAAAGAATTTGTAATGCAGACAGCAGCAATGGACAGGAAGCTACTACAATTCTCCTTGTGTTGTTTGCCTTTCTCAGCCGCCCCTCCTCTTTCTCTCCCCCTCCTCCCCCCTTTTTCTTGGAGTTACTTAAAAGAGAAATCAGCTTTTGAAGGTGAATGTGCCTGAAGGTGTTGCTGCCATTAGCTAATGTAATTTGGAAAAAGGGAGGCTGATTTACAGGGAGTGCAGTTCAGTTTCTTTTACATCCCGGTGTTTTCACCTTTCCTAGCTATTGTTCTTGGACTTTAAAAGTAACACAAAACCACAAAAATAATTCTAGAATCAGACATACCAGAATATATTGTCTGCAGATGCAGTAAATTCTAGTAATGATAGTGAGAATATTCTGCTGATGTTTAGCTCAATGTAACAAAATTTCCAGGCCTTCCTTGACTAGGCAGAGGCAAGGGGAGTGCCTTGGGGTTTATGTCTCTATCTAGAGAGTTGAATATATTTTCATCCAAAGCAGTGCCCTGTGCAGAAAAATTTGTTTGCCGCATCTTTGTTTTGGCCAGGTGTACGTGGTCAGAGAACGGCAAACATGTGACT